TTATAAAATTTTAAAAAAATAAAAAGAATAAAATAAAATAAAAATAAAATAAAATTAAATAAAATTAAATTAAATTAAATTAAATTAAAATAAAATAAAAATAAAATAAAATAAAATAAAATAAAAATAAAATAAATAAAATAAAATAAAAATAAAATAAAAATAAAATAAAATAAAATAAAATAAAATAAAATTAAAATAAAAATAAAATAAATAAAATAAAATAAAATAAGATAAAATAAAATAAAATTAAATTAAAATTAAAATAAAATAAAATAAAATAAAATAAAATAAAATAAAATAAAAATAAAATAAATCAAATCAAATAAAATTAAAATAAAATTAAATTAAATTAAAATAAAATAAAAATAAAATACATAAAATAAAATAAAATAAAATAAAATAAAATAAAATAAAATAAAATAAAATAAAATAAAATAAATAAAAGCCCAAGAAACCTTATTTGAAATCCCCGATGGGGATAATTTTGCCCCCAGCCCTCGCCGTCAGGATGGCCGAGTGGTCTAAGGCGCCAGACTCAAGGATTCTCCTTCCCTCGGGAATTCTGGTCTCCTCGTGGAGGCGTGGGTTCAAATCCCACTCCTGACAGCGCTGCCTTTTTTAAGAATTTGCTGAGAATTTTCTCCTTTTCCCGCCTGTGCTTTCCCTTTTTCGAATTATTATTCCCTCACAAATTATTATTTCCGTTTTTAAATTGTTGCTTCCTTTATAAAATCATTATTCCCCTTTTCAAAGCATCGCTCTCTTCCTAACTTTTTTCCTTTCTAAAATTACTGTTTCTTTTCCAATTATTATTCCCCTTTTTAAAAGCCGTCATCCCCTTTTCCCAAATTACTATTCCGGTTTTCAAATTATTGCTCCTTTTCCAATTTTTTTTCCCCTTTTCCACATTATCGTTCTTTTTTTAAAATCTTCTTCCCTTTTGAAACGATCCCTGCAGATAATCCTGACGCACAGTCAGCCCTCCGTAATTGCCGTTATTTAATTATTCAGCTGCAATTATCTCAGCACGGCGGGCAAACGCCTTCCACACAAACGTCATCGGGGGAAAAAAAACGCAATTAGCGTTATTGCTGTTCATTTATTAATTTATTCATTTATTCATTTATTCATTTATTCATTTATTCGTTTATTTATTGCTCAGTGACAGAAGGCAGAACGGGAAAATCTGCGGCAAGGGAGAGGCACGAAAAGAGGAGAAGAGTTTTAGGAGAGGTTTAAATATGAATGGATAAGGGGGAAAAAAAATTGGATTTAGCGAGAAAAGAGCGGATTCCCTGACCGGGAATCGAACCCGGGCCGCGGCGGTGAGAGCGCCGAATCCTGACCACTAGACCACCAGGGAGGCTGCGGGGACACCCCCGAACCTGGTTTGGGTAGGGACGGGCTCGGGGACACCCGAGGGATCCGGACCGCGACCCCAAACCGATCCCGGGGTTTGATCCCGACCCACCCCAGAATGGGATCCCGAACCGGGATGGAGCTCGACCCCAGAATCCCAGGAGAAAACCCCCATGGACCCCGGGATCTGACCCCAATAAATCCCAGGAGAAAACCCCCATGGACCCCGGGGTCTCACCCAAATAAACCCCAGGACATGACCCCAGAATCCCAGGAGAAAACCCCCATGGACCCCGGGATCTGATCCCAATAAACCCCGGGATCTGATCC